AAAAAAAAAAAAAAAAAAAGTAGGGCTTCTACATTAGAACTTATGACTTTGGTTTGGGTAGGCATCGCTTTAAGAGCTTATAGGTACTGAGGACCCTTTGGAAAGGTGAGTAACATACATGTTGATCACCTAACTCTTGGCCAACATCGCCCTACTTAGCTGCCTGCTTGTATGCATGCCGTGCCTCTGACACACTTTGTCATCAGGGACGGTGAGACGGTGAGCGGGAGTGTCTTCAGCGGCTCGAGAAGGAACTCCATGTTGATTCAATGGTTCTTCCATCTCAGCAGGCAGTTCCAATTAACAATTAATCGTTCACAATTTTCTCCACGTGTGAGGCCCTCAATGTTTATGGCCGCAGCGCAGAATATCCGAACCTAAGTCGAACGATGATGCAGACCCAAACAGAATCCTGCCTGCGCCAAGCCTTCGGCGCAACTCATTGTGACAAAAGCCACAGTCAAAACTGCTTGAACGGAATAGTGGATTCGATGGGTTCCGATTATGGGACCTATTAAGAGTTATGTCAGGAGTAGGTACCAACGGATATGGACTTAAAGGTTGTGGTTGCCTTGTGCCCCAGTCCTTGGGCAAACCCGTAAAACTCTTGGGCCATTATAAGAGTGACTAGGACTGATAAACCAGGATCGGTGCAGCGCTCCATCAACATCAAGACTTCAATGTCAAAAGCAAGTCTAGAGCCAACGCACACTTGAAATTCTTCTCAAACCTTCCACTCAAACCCTACACCCAAGCTTTCAATTTTCAATAAGGTCCCAGCGGCAGCCGCGAGATCCAAGCGCCTCACAGAACAAGCAAACATGCCCCCTACACATGTACCAACTGAGGAGTGCAGATGAAAAACAAATCATTTGGTGCAAAAAATCTGTGAATCTGAGGCATCCATGGCATCTGCAATGACTGTTGGCCGGCGGACAGGACACGACAACAGTAAAGCAGCGAGTTTCTGCCTGATGTGCGGGGGGGGAGGCGTCTTCTGGACGCGTGGGCAGCAATCTCATCAGAGCAGCAACAATTTTAACGTCCATCGCAGGTTGTCAACAGGTCGCGTCCTATGGACACAGTCAATGTACTCACCTCTATGAGGCACTGTTGTCATGCACTAGGCGGCGGATCAGTAACACTGCTTTACATCTTGTGAGGCCCCGTCCGTGTCCAACAAACACTGGGGCCCCCCCCGAGACGCAAAGCCTGCAGTTCGGCGCCTCAAGCCCAACCTAAGGAACCCAAATCCTTATCGATCCTTATAAGAATGGTAAACTGGTAGAATCCCTAGCAAATACCCAGAGAAAAACCCTTACAACATGGACTCAGGCTCCGCAGGCACGACCCTAAAGGGAACTGAGCCATGGCACAGATGGGGGAGCTGCCTCAAATTCGGGGGTAGCCCTTCTCTAGCCTTGAGTACTTGGAGGCCGTGCCGTTAGATCGTGCTTATGGTGCACAATAGGATATTCTTCGCTCCAAAATAAAAAGCTAATCCTGGTTGAAGGAGCTCCTACCCTTTCTTGTGGACACTGTGCTGTTAGATCGACCTGGCTTCCCAAGGTCGGTAGGCCCTGCGCTGCGCGGGTCCCTCAGGGAGCGGCAGGAAGGAGGCACAGCACGCTGTACATCGAGCATGCAACAAAAATCGAAATTAGACCGTCTCCAGGCTACATCACTCACGGTGACGGATTCATACCACTCATCAGGAAGCTCTGGAAGTAGTTGGTGACGACCTTGCTCAGATGGCGCAACAGCGTCACCTTCACCTGCACAGTTTCTCAAAAGCTCCCTGAGCAGGCTTAGAAGAGGTGAGGAGAAACCACATTTCAACTCCTAATCCTAATACAACCCCCACGGGAGACCTTGTCGTTCACCTCCTGGAAGCCAACACTGCCTTGGATGATCTTCTTGATCGCTTCAGTGTCTGCCTCCTCGCTCGCGGTCGCCTTCTCCACGTCAATGTCGTCGAAATGCTTCTTGAGCTTCATCATGACCTCCATGTTAAGGCATCTACCAAAATCTCAGTTTAAACCCTGTGCTGGGTGCCTACACGAGGGGGAAGAACTGTTCAGTTGTCACAGATTTCAGGCAAACCGATGCCTCCATGGGATTTGGGGCAGCGCTCATCTCCGTGGAGAGGCTTTCAATCGCCCCCTCCGGAAGGACGATGGTGGGAGTGATCTTCTGCTGCACAGACACAAAGGCCTCGAACACACACCACATCCGCGTGGTGTATTTCGGAACCAAGCAGTTGTCCAAGATAATGATCATCTGGCCGATAGACTTGAGATTGTTCTCAAAAGAATCCTTCAGCGTCTCTGGCGCAACCTCTCCTTTCTTAAGTCTGTACTGGTTGTTGCAGAAGAAGCATATCCAAAGAAATGCCTCTTTGCTTCGGCTGTCTCCCTCCCGTGACCAACTTCCCAGGGCACCGGACACCTGCTCGACCGTGTAGCCCCACGACCATGAAACAAAGTGTGTGGCTTTGGCTCGCAATTCCCGGTCCTTCGCGTACAAGGCATCCGTGTAGCTACATCCCATCTCACCGTCACGTGGGCAGATCAGGTCAGAGCCCATGCCTCCCTTCTTGGCGAAGACCTTCTTCTTCAGGTCTCGAAAGGACTTGGAGACGGAGTCCTCCAGCATGCGACGGGCTTTCCGACTTCGGGAGCTTAGGATTTAAGGCTTATAGGGTTTCAGTTTTGGGGATGGGGATTCAGCGTTGAGGAAGGGCTCTAGCTTGACACAGAAGTATTGCTAATGTTAGGTCTTTTTCCCGAGGCCTGCAATCAAACTAGGCTTCGAGCCCGAGGGTCCTTGAACTTCTCAGGGAAGGCCCGGATCACATAGAAGGCCTGGACGCCTGCCTGCTCAGATTCCTTCTTCAGAGCCTCACGAGCAGGCTGGACACGCGCAGCCCAGAGCTTCCAGAGTTTCGCCTTGCAGGCCACAGGAGGGCATGTACGATCATTCTGGAAAATTTCTATGTTGCCGTTACTGTTCAGTTTATAATATTCATGAATTCATACCTGCCATCATCAACATGATCTTGTCCCTAAGCTTCGCGGGCCCAAGGCCTAGGGTGGGCGGAGGTTGCTCTTAACCTTTACAGGTAGGCTTTGTTGCGGGAGACCCTCAAAAATCGACGTCCATATCTGCTCTGCGCTTGCCTTCTCCGCCTCATATGCGTCAATGATCGCTTGAGCACTTCCGGCGCTCGAGAATGCCCGAGAATCCGTGCATTTGAGGAATTTGGAGGTCTGCGCCGGAACAAGGAACACCTGGCCACCCAAGGAACACGCGCCTCTGAACAGCTCTACGTCCCTATCTCCACTGAAGATGCCTTCCGGGAGCTCGACAGAAATGCCGCCATCGATGGCCGGGTCGTAAACAAAGACCCTCCGCGCACGAAATGGGGCAAGATAGATCTTCCCGCCTGAAGCACATATGCCGCTAAACTTTTTATGCCCTGGCTGCATGCCTGCACTGGACACGTCGACAGCCCAGCCCTTTTGCGTGTTCAAGTCATACACGAACATCTTTGAAGCCATGTCAGGAGCCAGGAAGACCTTTCCATCTGCATGGCAGATGGCACTGAACTTGTTCTTGTCTTCCCCAAGTCCTTTCAGGCCTGCACACGAGACATCGATGAACTTGATCTCGGGCGACCCGATCTTCCACCAACACATGCAAGAACCAGTCCCGGGCGCCAAGAAGAATGCTCCGTTTGCATAGCACATGGAAGTGATGGCCACTTTTGCTCCGGGCTTGACACCGCTTGGACCGGTATAAACCTTTGGCGATCTCGTGTTACCGGTGCGGGCATCAAATGCATACAGCTCAAACTTTTCCCTCATAGAAGGCTACGAAGACCACGCCATCGCCAGAGCACATACATGAAACCTTGGCCGAACCCCCATAAAAAAAATGAATGTCAGTTCTTTTGCCGGCATCAAGGTCAAATTCACTGATACTGCATCCTTGGTCGGCAAAGTCGGTGCCCCCGTAGATCTTGTTGTCCACCGCACACACGTGCGTGATGGTCTTCGGCAAGTCAATTGCTGAGAACTTCTTGGTCTCCACGTCGAAGAGTACGACTCCTGCCTCTACAATAACAGCAATGCCTGTGGTGGCGGCGGCAATGCCAAAGGTGGCATTTTTCTCCCATGGCGCCTCGAATTTTTCGAAGCTGTCATCGACTGGATTGTACGCGATGAGGTGTTTTGTGCCCGAAAGGAAGATCTTGCCAAAGGCCGGACAGAGACACTTGACTCTGCCGATATCAAACTCCTGGATCTTGCCATCCTTGGATGTCAGGGACGCTCCGCTCCCCATGGCTACGAGGCCGCAAAGTGGTTGGGAACCTGGACCTCCCGCAGGCCTTTGAGCCAACTGCATATTCTCAACCTCCTACGGTTGGCCTCCAGTAGTTTCTCGGTGGTTTCCTTGAGGCTTACAGGATCCCTTCTTCTGGAGACCTCCTCTTGGAGTGCTGTTACGACATATCCTGTCAGAATCTACCCCTGCCTGTGCGTAGCAGTAATGTAGTGGTCTATAAGGGCCTTGCTTTAAGAGTGCAATGCAAAGAGAGCCGGAAACATGGAAGGTCCCCAAACGGTATGTGAAGGGTTTTACTCTGATATACGTTGCGCTTAACCATTACCCCAAAATCCTGAACCCCTAAAGTCATAAAGCCATGGACCCTAATCCCCCCCCCAAGTCCCAAACCCCCAAACCCAGCCTCACTGCTTGAAGCTGCTGTTGGCGCTTGCCAAAGTCCGTAAGATGCCATCAGCCAGAGCTGAAATCAGGCCTGGTACCACCTGTTTGGGTCTGCGATTTAGGTGTTCGTTTAGGGTTTGGTGGATGGAGAGAGATCTTGCACCACTTCGTAACTTAAGCAACGGACATACTGTAATTGTCATTATTTGGTCTATACAGGGTGGTGTTAGATTTCCTCCATCCACCATTGATTTTTTGGGTTTAGAGTTTTACGACTTCGCTATGATCCAGAACAAGTTTAAAAGGACCTGTGCTGGCAACTGCGTATTCTCAACCTCCAACGGTTGGCCTCCACTAGTGTCTCGGCAGCTTCCTTGCGGCTTACAGAATTCCTGCTTCCGGAGACCTCTTTCGGAGCTGTTACGACATATCCCGTCAGATTCTACCTTTGCCTGTGCCTAGCAATAATGCAGTAATGTTGGTCTCATTTTGGGGGGGAGGGGGGGCCCTTATTATGAGGTAAACCTTAATTTAAGGGCCTTGCTCTAAGAAGGCCTCCTATGACAAGAAATGAGATTATCTTAAAATGTGGTATTCTTAGGACCGAATTACGACAGAAGGGTAGCGGGTTTTCCTAAATGAGTCTGTACGGGTACACAACTTGGCGAAATAGGATAAGCCTGGCATCGGAGCCGCGTAATTTAATCTGCAGCTAGTCCACACGCCATGTCCAGGATAGAGCTATAGAGAGTTGGAGATGGAGAATCACGTGGAGAATAAAATGGAACCTCATGGAAACTGTGACTATCTAGCGGTTCTAGGGATGTGTACAAGGCTGATGGCAGTAAAATCGTCGCATCTAACGGTGGTTTGCCCTCCAAAGCTCTACTCCTCAGGCACCCCGCCTGACCGAAACCTGAGAAGCCTACGAAGCTTTAGGCGCATACAGGTGTTTGCTAGCTGCCCAGTCATGCTACAGGAATACTCACAAAGCGCCTGTAACCGCTCTTTGAACAACCCTCCGCGCCCCACCGCGTTGCCAATCTGCTTGTAGAAGCCGTGGCCGCCGTCTATCTGGTAGCTGTCAGGAAATCCCATCCTTTCAATATATTTCAGTGCTGTGATCGTAGGAGTCTGAAGTATCCTCGCTAAAGAGGCCTTTGCAGCCCGTGCCAAGGGCGAGCCCTCCAACCTGAAAACTAAACTGTAAACTCTAACTTTTTTTCCGGCAGATGAGAAATCCCAACCCCAACGCCCAGCGCGTAGCATTGCAAAGGAATTGGAGCCCCAAGGGCGTTTGTGTCATCATTCTCAAGGTTTGCGTTTTTCTTAATAGCGTTACGATTATCCCTGTTGAGCTTCTCATGTGCCACATTGTTTCTGTGGGTTTAGGGTCGCCCATCATAAGGTTCTCACAAACGTCTGTATAAGCAAATAAATAAATATATATATATACACATAGACAGATATCTATATATTATTACATATGTACACACATACACCCTTTCTGGCGGAAGTACACTCAACCTCTGCTCACTTCAGATTTCAGGCTTCTTAAGGGTGACTATGTGACCACAATGCCATCAAGGCGGCAGACGAGCACATTCCCGTGTCGTGAAGAATCGTGGAAGGTTTCCGGAAGCCTGAGATAAGCACATTGACATGGTGGGAATACCGCGCTAAGCAAGGTCCGCGGCTAATTCATCGCTTTGGGCATTCAAGGGTTTAGGGCCTCAAGCTTAAGGGTCGGGGCAAATGGTTTGGTGCAAGTGACAGAAGTAGACTCAGTAAAATCTACCACGCTCTCTACCTTTTCAACTGATCTCAACTGCTGATGCGAATACGGACTCAGCGTCAAAGATGGGTAGGCTTAAGCATCTAGAAGTTCCGGTGGCTGGCGTTGGTCAGGGTTCCAACCGCCATGGTGTACCTTATCTTCCGCCACGACCTGCGGATGCCGGTGGCCCAAGCGCTTTGGAAGCAGAAGTCAAAAACTCTAATGCAGGCGGATGAGTAGTTGTACGTAGGTTTTGGGCACCCCATAGCAAAGACATGGATATAATTCTGGTTGTAACATGCTTGTTACAAGCATAGCTTCAACTCGTTTGGGACGAGCCAACCCAGTGGGTGTTCCCAAATGTAAGGGTACCCTGGAAAAGGGGATTTAGGGGTGATATAGGATTATGAAAAGATATGTCAGGATCTGTAGGGCTTTGCGCTCCCCGAATTAGGGGTACCATTTTGGAGCTCTTTATAAATAGGATTGCGGCCCTTCCCGTGTATGGAAACTCCTCAATCTTAAGCTCAGAACGATAGACCCTCAGCCCTAACCAACAACAACTACACCACAAAGCCTAATAAAACTCGGAACCTGAATCCTAAACCCATCATAAAACCCAAAAGCATGGACCCCAGCCCAACAACGCCAAACCTCTGGACTGAGGCCAGCGGCGACAAACTGCGAAGCCCGACGGAAGTCGCATCGGTAGCTGGAACGCAACGCTCCGGCCCAGTCGGAATCCACAGTCAGCACTCTCCTACATGATGGGATCAGGATTGATGAGCTTGAGGTCTCAGAGGCTCTCAGGCTCCGGCTCTCGGGCTCAGACGTCCCGACACTATGACAATATGAAACGGCGCCCGCTCCGCTCAAGTTCAATGCTGCCCAGCACAAGGTCCCTACAACTTACAACAATTTCATAGCAATATGAGGGAGTAAGGGGTGGCTTCTTATGTTGTGGCGGGGGGGGGGTGAGAACAATAGCTTTTAGCTTTTCAGGTTCAGAGTGGCTGTTTTTTTTGGGGGGGCGGGGATAGGGCTGTAGGCTGTACAAGAAGATCACTATTCTTTAGGGACAGCAGAAATTTCGCAGAGGATGATCTCCTAGGGATATGCTGAGCTTCCCTGGGGGCCTCTCAGTTTGCAGACTGACTATGCAGGGATTAGTGAGACGTGGAGGTGCCTATTAAGCCTCAAAATGGCGTTGTTGGGGAGCTTTGATCTCTCACACCCCCAAACCAATTAACCCAACATCCAAGACCCGAAGCCCGAGATACCCTGAACCCCCAATCATAGACCCTAATCCGAGCACAATGAAAAGGACCATATTTAAAGTACATGTTTTGGGCAGAATTGGGCTCCAAAGACTAGCTACAATCAGGTGGCTTTTTGTATGCGGAAAAGGACCTAGATGACTACATGTAAAGATTTTTTGGGAACCAATCCTGATAATAGAGGTATTCCATACATTCCTATCCGCTTTTTAATAAACAGAGGTCCAAGAGCCCTAATGACGCAGGAATGCATTCCTATTTTGTTAATTGAGTTCCAGAAGCCCCAATCATTCTTTTAATCTGGCGCCCTCAATTTCTTATTCTGGGGTGAGAAGGGGGCCCAAATTGTTCCAGTGCTCGGATTAAACGCTACATCCCAAACACAAAACTCCCTCGACCTTACTGTAAAGCCCCGGGAGGCTTGCTCGAGTTCAGGATACTGTTGGCAACAGAAACTCAAGCTTGACGGGAGCTCAGGTTTTTAAAGCTCCGTCTTGTCTTTTCGTGCCCGGGAGGGTTTTGGTTACGGCTGAGATGTTTAGGGTTTGCGGCTTACGTTTAGGATTGAGGACTGTTAGAGGTTTAGGGTCCAGGGCTCAGAAGTGTAGAGGGACCAGGAATGCTGTTTTGTGCGACGACAGGGCCCCGTGTGCTAGGGATAAAGGTTCGTAGTCTGATCCCTCCTAAGGCTCTCCGGAGTGTTGTGAAGCAACTCGCGTTACGAAGAGTGATGTACTAGAAATGAGATTGCGCAAGGTCTTTGTCAGGAACATGCCTTCAAACTTGCAACACTTTCATCCGGAGGTTGTGCTCATTCCAGACGCCTATGCCACAATCCTCATCGCAACGGATCTCTCCTCCAAATTAGGGTCTGCCGGTGCCCCGTCGGAGTTGCACCCTGCAGCCTAAACCCAACACTCCCTGAACCCTACACTGTCTTTACTTACTGGTTCTTGGCAGGGAGAAAGGGAAGACAATCCTACATAACATATTGGATTATATTGGCCTATTCCCTACTAATAGGAACGATTAAGTTTTTGATTCTACAGATCCCCTAGAATGGGTCTGTCGAGGGGCTTCTTCCGAGCGCCTTCCTCACTGCCCTCCTCGGCAACAACCTGAATAATGTAGACCAAAACAGTAATGGGAAGCGAAATGGACAAGAAGATGGAACATGATATGAAGCTGGGTTTTAAAAGGAGCTATATTGTAAAAGAATTGCGGAGCACAAAAGCTTGGAAAATGTCACCAACACACTGGTCGGCTTGAGGTACCTGTGCCACGCATACTTGTACGAGAAGCTGCGGCATGTTACTGGGCATGCTTTCAGCCCTACATTCTAATGCGGTTGATGGCAGGAATCTTGCACAGTCTTGCACACCCCTAAATTGCTTGTTTATAATGTATGGCCTAGAATTTCACGCATGAGTCCAAGGCATGATTTGAGTAATTTAGGCGGCCTAGGTGGCGCATGACCTCAGCAACTGTGCTGAGATGTTGCTGGACTATGTTGCTGCAGCAGGGCTCCG